AGTCTATCTCACCTGAATTTAAAAACCTCAAGAACAGATTTGAAATGTTGAACACTAACTACTAAAGATGAGTTGTAGGGTGACATCAAGGACATCATCCATGAAAATATGATCATATAATGAAATAAAATCATATAATAAAATAAAATAATATAATAAAAAGGCCATTATAAAGACAGGAAGGGAAGAAAATGATGTCAGAACAGACTCTGAAACTTGCACTAGACTAGAGAAAGGCCAAAAGAAAAGAAATGCTCAAGTAACAGAGTTGAACAGACTTGAAAGGGCAGCTGAAGAAGACAAAGCAAAGAACTGTAATGAAATGTGCAAAGAGCTTGAGTTAGAAAATCAAAAGGAAAGAACGTGCCCAGAATTTGCCAAGCTGAAAGAACTGAAGAACCAACTCAGGCCTCAAGTTGCAGCACTGAAGGATTCCAAGGGCAAAAGCTTGACCGATGCAGGAAGCATCAAAAGAAACTGGAAGGAACACAGTCCCTGTGCCAAGAGCCGACCACGCGGAACCATCCCAGGAAACAGCGTAGGATCAAGAACCACCAGCACTGAAGGAAGAAGCCCAAGATGCTCGAAGGCACCAGCAAAGCAGTGACACCCAGGATCTGACGGCGTATCACCTGGGGTGTTTCAACAAACGCATGCAGCCATGGACGAGCTCACTAGTCTCTGCCAACTCAAATGGAAGACAGCTACCTGGGCGCTGACTGGAAGAGATATTTGTCCCCATTGGGCGGAAACAAAAAGCAAATACAGCAGAACGTGGAATGTATCCTAGCAACAACATTAACATCACACCAAGCAAAATCTTACTGAAGATTATTTAACAATCACCAGAACAGTACATTGACAGGGAACTGTCGGAAATTCAAGCTGGAGTCAGAAAAGGCCGTGGCATGAGGCATATAACTGCTGAGGTCAGGTGGGTCTTGGACAAAAGCAGAGAACACCAGAAAGACGCTTCTTGTAGTTGTTACGTGCCGTCGAGTCACCTGCAACTCATAGTGACTCCACCTCTGTTGTCTCAGTAACTGTATCAATCCATCTCTTCCTTTCCTGTGCTGTCCCTCCACCCTTCCGAGCATGATGTCCTTCTCCAAGGACTGGTTCTTCCTGGTCACGTGCCCTAAGTATGTGAGATGGAGCTTTAAACTCCTAGCCTCCAAGGAGAAAATGGGTTTTACTCTCTCCAAAACATACCTATTTGTTTTCTTGGAAGGCCATGATAGGTTCAAGACTCTTCTCTAGCACCACAACATCCGTTCTTTTTCTGACATCCTTAGTTATTGTCCAGCTCTCTGATGCATAACAAGTAATGGCGAAGACTCTGGCCTGGATCAGGCACACCTTAGTATGTAGACTAATACTGTTGCATTTCACTACTCTGGAGAGGTCCCTGACAGCACACATTCCCAGTACAATTCATCTTTTGATTTCCTGATGGCTGGTGCCAAGAGTATTGCTTGTGGAGCCGAGCCAGCTGTAATTGTATCTCAATCTCTTCGTCTATCATGGTGCTGCCAGTCAGCCCAGTGGTAAGAAACTTTGTTTTCTTGATGCTGAGCTTCAATCCACATTGAAGACTATAGTCCTTGAACTTTTTCAGCAACTGCTTCAGGTCCTCCTCAGTGTCAGCCAGCAGGGTTGTGTCATCCGCAAAACGTCAGTTATTAATGAGTCTTCCTCTACTTTCCTCCTCATAAAGCCCAGCCTCCCGAATGATCTGTTCTGCATATAGATCGAACAGGTGTGGAGACAGGATGCATCCCTGACAAACTCATTCCCTGATTCTGAACCCTGCAGTGTTTCCTTGCTCTGTTCTTAGGATTGCTGCCTGGTCCAAGTATAGGTTTCACATAAGCACAATCAAATGTTCTGAGATTCCCATTCTCCTCAGAATCAGCCACGATTTGTTACAATCCACACAGTCAAATGTCTTTGCATAATCAATGAAACACAGATAGATATTCCTCTGGTCCTCTTTGCTTTCTGCCAAGATCCATCTGACATCGGCAATAATGCCTCTAGTGCCAAGGCCTCTTCTAAATCCAGCTTGTATTTCTGGTAGTTCTCTGTCAATATGCTGTTTCAGTCATTTCTGGATAATCTTCAGCAGGATTTTGATTGTGTGTGATGTTGTGTGATAATTTCCACACTCTGTGGGGTCACCTTTCTTGGAATGGGAATAAATATCAATCTCTTCCAGTCAGTTGACCAGAAGCATACTTGGGTTTTACGAACTTTGCTAAGGTATTTGACTGTGTGGATTATAACACATTATGGCTAACATTGAGAAGAACGGGAATTCCAAAACACTTATTTGTGTTCATGTGAAACTTGTACACAGACCAAGAAGCAATTGTCTGAACAGAACAAGGGGACCGTGCGTGATTTAAAATCAGGAAAGGTGCGCACTAAGGTTCTACCTTTTCCCCATAAAAGTCAATCTGTATGCTGAGAAAATCATGCAGGAAGCTGGACTATGTGAAAAAGAATGTGGCATCAGGATTGGAGGGAGACTTATCAACAGCCTTCCTTATGCACTTAGCAAACAATAAATGCTGGCGAGGTTGTGGAGAAACTGGAAGCCTTATTCACTGTTGGTGGGAGTGTAAAATAGTGCAACCCCTGTGGAAGGCGGTGTCGTGCTTTCTCAAAAAGTTGGAGATAGGAGGGAGCTCTGATGGCCTAATGGCAAGAAGCTGCACTGCAATCCCAGAGGTATGAGGTTCAAATCCACCAGATGCTTTGCTGGAGAAGGAGGAGCAATTTCCTCCTGAACCAATCAGATCCAATTTGACAGCACACACACACACACACACACTAAAAAAAAACAAAACTTAAAAAAAATGTTGGAGATAGAAATACCACTTGGCCTAGCAATTCCACTACTGGGAATATACCATAAATAAACAGAACTGCCACCCAAGCAGATATATGCACACCCATGTTTATCGCGGCTTCGTTCAGAATAGCAAGGAGGTGGAAACAACCCAAGTGCCCATCAACAAACAGATGGAGAAGCTGTGGTATATTCACACAATGGAATACTACGCTGCATTGAAAAATAAGGAACTCATGCAATATTATACAAAATGGATAAGCCTGGAGAACACTATGCTGAGTGAAATATCTCAGTCACAAAAGGACAAATACTGCACAGTGCCTCTGTTATCAAGTGGGTCTGACATTGGGTTTGGGGGGAAACTAAGAAAAGAGGAGACAAATAATGTATACTGCATTGAATCAGATGATGGAGAGAACCATTTAGGAGGAATATATGATTAGGTATTATTGTCATGACAAGAGTCCAGAATGAAAGCTGCACAGTGGAGTAGACTTGGGGGGAAAGAATGTATAACAATGAAATTATTTTTTTACTTTTCAAAGAGAAAAGTGAACTGAAGGGGAGGGGTGGGCAGGGAGGAGAGTGTGCAACAATGAATGAATGGAAATCCAAAGTCTCTGTCAACTTTCATTAAAATTAATTTTAAAAAAAAGGGAAAAAAAGGAAGACTTAAAGTATATACTGCAGAAGATCGAAGACTATACAGCCTTCACCATGGATCACACCTCAACATAAAAAAAACTAAAAGTCTCATCATTGGACCAAAAGGCAATGCCATGACAGAGAAAATATTGAAGTCATCAATTACTTCATTTTGTTTGGCTTCACAATCAATCCCCATGGAAGCTGTAGGCTAGAAATCAGAAGATGTGTTTCATTGGCAACATCTACTGTCAAGGACATCTCCAAAATGCTAAAGAGCAACGATGTCAGTTTAAGGAGTGAGGTGCACCATATCTAAGCCATGGTCTTTTCAACTGCCTCCTATGAATCTGAAAGTTGGACAGTGACTCAGGATGACCGAAGAATCGATGCCTTGGAATTGTGATGTTGGAGAAGCAAACTAAATATCCCTGGACTGCCAAAGAATAAGCAAGTTGGTCTTGGTGGAGGGGGCGCCCAGGATGCTCCTTGGTGGTTGGGCGTGTTGCGGGAGGGGCCCGTCCTTGAAGAACTAGACCAGACTTGGAAAAGGTGAGAGTCAGCAAGCAGACGAAAGCCTTCAAGAAGATGGATTGGCCCAGTGACCGCGACAACTGTCCGTCACGTCAGACGTGGTGAATATGGGGCGGCGCAGGGGCAGCAGCTCTGTCCCCGACAGGGTCACTAGGAGTCACAGGAGGCTTGAGGGTACTTACACAACAACAAAGTAGGACAGGGACTGACTATTAGGGGCCCTGTGCCATCTGCTGGGGACACAGAAGTGGCACTGAGTGGAGGAGAGGAGGAGTCCCAGCGATGGCTGGGGTCTCTGCCCAGTGACACAGGTGGACCAGGTGGAAGGAGTAGCCCGTGCAGGGCCGGTGATGTCCAGAGGGGCCACAGGAGGGAGACGGGGGTAAGGGGGCGAGCACTGCAGGCAGGGGGGCGGTGCAGTTTGATGGGAACTTTGCGAGATATCAGAGCAAAAAAACGAACCCTGCAGTCACTCCTGAGCAAGTTCCAGGTCTCATAGATGAAGTCAAGTCCTGACCAAGTAGGACCTGGATTCAGACACCATTTCAACATTTGATTTCATACACTGAACACTGATAACTGGAGGCAGAGGAGCTGAGGAAGGACATGGGGTGGGGGTGGGGCTCACACATGGAGAAAGCAAAGGGTCCAGGAAAAAGGCAGCAGACAAGGAAGGGCTGATGACAGAGCCCGAGGTCCAGGGGAGAGCACAGGGAGGCCGAGGCCAATGGGGGCGAGAGGAAGCAGAGGCGGGAGGGACGGACGGAAACGAGGCTGACAGAGGGGGGCCCACACCAGAACTCGGGGGAGCTGAGGCCGACAGAGGAAGAAGCTTTTAAAGGGCAACTTTGAAGGCAGTAACTGAAGCCACCAAGTATGCTTATGAGCTGGCCCAGACCCCAAGCTGACCCTCAGCCGGTGTCCTGGGCTGGAGGCCTGACCCCGGTGGGTGTCCTGCCTGCAGTTGCGTGCAGGGGATAGCCCACCTGCCTCCCTCAGAGCCGCTAGAGGACCCACACCTCCAGATGGGGTGCAGAATGTGGGGGCAGGGCAGGTCTCTGCGTGCTGCACCATCAAAGCCCCCAAGCCCGACAAGGACGTGGTCAGCGCCCTCGGTAGACACCAGGGAAGATGACAACCTACGGTATTTCTCAAGGTGAAAGGAAGGAAGGAAAAAAATGAAGCCTCCAGTCACAGTGAAGAGAAGATTCCGTGAGGACGATCACCTGCATATTGAGACAACAAAATCCTCCCAGCTGGACCTGGAAGCAACATCCTGACCCTTGAGGCCAAGTCCTTCCCTTCATCGTTTCTCCAAGTTCAGGGTTTCCAGAGGCAAGCTATTTTGGATGTGGATGCTTCCACTCCTGCTTCCAAACTTGTTTTCATCAGGGAGCACCACCAAACACTGTCCACCATGGGTAACCGTTATCACATTTGACACATCACTGTCACAGTGTTTAGCATCACAGCAACCACAAATTACCTCTGTCCAGCAAATGGACAGACCAGGACTATGCCACTTGGAAGAATGTTTGACCAAAAACAATTAAAACCAGGCCTGTGGACTGCAGATTAAAATCACCTGCCTTTGACTTGGTAGCATCACTTTCTATCCTCGAGGCCCAAAGAGCTCTATGTTGGTGTTGTTGTTAAGTGCCGTCGAGTCGTAGATGACTCACAGTGACCCTATGAACAAAAGACCTGAACACTTGTATAACATGCCTGCTAAACACCGCCACGACCTGGTGGGGACACAACCCCACTCGGGGCGAGACTGCCCAGGACAAGTGACCGAGGGTGAACTGAGCCAGAAGAGAGACATGGCAGGCGTCCCAGCTAACGTGACAGCACGCAAAGCCGTCCACGGGCGCTGGAGCCAGTGCGCGTGGGGCGTAAGCTCAGAGCCTTCTGTCAGGTGGCCATGAGTCACCTCCAAGCCCTAGGACACGGGAGCCCACAGACAACTGACCACCCCTCGCCCAGGCCTGCGCCGTCCTCCCATCCTCGCCACACTTAAAGCACTGCCGCTGTCAGCCCAGCTCACTGGGGGTCTTCCTCCCTCAGCATGACATTCTGTTCCAGGAACTGGTCCCTCCAGACGACATGCCCAAAGTACGTGACACAAAGTCTTACCATCTTCCTTCTAAGGAGCACCTTGGGTACTGCCTCCAACCCTGATTTGTTTGCATCCTCTTGGCAGTCCATGAGATGGTGTTAGCCAGCACCACTATGCAGAGGCATGATTCTTTTCCAGTCTCCTTTATTTATTGTCCAACTTGCGCAGGCATATGAAACAATTGAAAATATGGCTTGAGGCAGGCACACCTTAGTCGCTAAAGTGACATCCTTACTCATTATCACTTAAAGAGGACTCAGATCCTAAAATAACTGGATTCCTGAGGACACCAGCAGTGCCTTCCCCTCACTCTTGGTCATAATCACGGTAAGGGAGGGGGCATATCCTGCACTTTCCTAACACCTGCGTGGCCCCAATCTCCTGCTGCTCTTTTTCAGCCTGAGGGTATGTCCACTTCACCTCACACGTCTTCCCGCCAACCAAGCCAGCAGCCCCACAGACTCCTCAAACAACCTAGGCCTCCCTCTCCCTTATTCACTGTTCAGTCAGAACCAAGTCAGACTGACTGACCCTCCAGTGGGCTTTCAGAGACTGTAAATCACACAGGAGGAGATAGCCCTTCCTCTCCCATGGATTTGAACCGCACACCTTTGTGTTGCCAGCGTAAGGCAAAGGCATTTGACTATGTGCATCGTAACAAATTATGGCTAACACTGAAAAGAATGGGAATCACACCTCAGGAAGAAAAAGGTAAACAACCCAATCGCAAAATGGGCACAAGATATGAATAGACACTTCACCAAAGAAGACATTCAGATGGGGAACAAACACAAAGAAATGCTCAAAATCCCTGGCTATCAGACAGATGCAAACCAAAACAAAAATGAGATATCATTTCACCCCAGCAATAATAGCAAACTTCAACAGGGCAGCAAACAATTAATGCTGGTGAGGTTGTGGAAAGATTGGAACTCTTATTCACTGCTGGTGGGAGTGTACAATGGTGCAACCACTATGGAAGGCAGTTTGGCGCTTTCTCAAAAAAGTTGGAAATAGAAATACCATTTGACCCAGCAATGCCACTACTGGGACTATATACTCTAAAGAAACCAGAACTGTCATCTAAACAGATATGTGGATTGCTGCATTATTCACAATGGTAAAGAGATAGAAGCAACCCAACTACCCATCAACAAATGAATGGATAGAAAAAGTATAGTATATTCATACAATGGAACACTAGGCAGCACTGAAAAACAATGAACTTGTAAAAAAACCCATTGAACTTGTAAAACATTACACAACACGGAGGACCCTGGAGGACATCATGCTGAGTGAAATATCTCAGTCACAAAAGGACAAATACTGCATAGCACTATGGTTACAAAGTAAGTCTGACATCAGGGGTTGGGAGGAGAATAGGATAAGAATGGACAGATAGTTGATCGGGCAGCCTAAACAGATTAGGTGACTGAAAAGGAATACAGCTCGCTAAATCAGCACCAGCGCAAGTAACCTGGGAGGAGACACTCGCACAAGCAAGCAGGAGACAAGCTCGGCGCAAGGGGAACTACCGCACCCAGATGTGGGATAAGCCAAAAGAGATCTTCCTGCCCTCCACCCCCGGCCTGGGGATGCACGTGGAAGTGAAGGACCCTGAAGGGAAGGTGACACTGTCCCGGCAGTATGGCTCCGAGGGCCGCTTCACTTTTACTTCCCACACTCCTAGAGACCATCAGATCTGCCTGCGCTCCAACTCCACCAGGATGGCCCTTTTTGCTGGTGGCAGACTGCGTGTGCACCTAGATATTCAAGTTGGAGAACACGCCAACAATTATCCAGAGATTGCTGCCAAAGATAAACTGACACGGCTGCAGCTGCGAGTGCGCCAACTGCTTGACCAGGTGGAGCAGATCCAGAAAGAGCAGGACTACCAAGGGAATGAACAAGTGAAATCATCTCTTCAACTCACTCTGTTCATGCACTTGTACAGATGAAAGGAAGGCCCTATGAAGCAGGCCTCTGCCTCACTACTCCCCTGCCTCATCCTGAGTTCACGAAGTTGTTTTGTGAATGTAAATAAGGGGTAGATCGTTGGCCTTTGAAGATTCAGATTTGTTTGTTTGTTTTTCTATAGTTATTTTTTGATAAATTATATTTTCCTTCCAAGTTCAACTAAGCAACAATGTAGCTCCTTCTATTTAGTAACACATATTTGTTAACTACTCTAGCAGTTCTCAGTTCAGTGGCCCATGGATCAGAAAGCATGCATCCCAGAAGCTTGTAAGGCCTCAACCCCTCAGAGCATTCTAATGGATACCTAGGGTTTCCATCAAAGAGGTGACAGTTTCAGAGCTAGCAGAAGACTGCATTTTAAATGCCCCTTCTTATTTAAAGTGTGATGTATCTTCTTGGCAACTATATCTGTTCTTTATACGGATTTTACAGTGAAATAAAATGTGTTGTAGTAAAAAAAAAAAGAATGGACAGATAGTTTGGATCCACAGATGTTCTGCTGGAGAAGGAGGGGCAATCTCCTCCTGTGTCACTTGGAGCCTATTTGAAGGTACACAACAAGGAAAAGGAAAAAAAGAGTGGACAGATAATGACATTGTATTGGAATAGATGAAGGAAAGACCTGCTTAAAAGGAATATATGATTAGGCATTGTATGTATGACATCCCAGAATAAGAGGTACATTATGGGAAGTCAAATTTTATACTAAATATTTATAATAAACCCAATATTATATCAGAATATAAGGGAGCACAAATACAAGCTGCAATTCCCCCAGAAGCACCAAGGCAGACCTTACCCATTTAGTCAATTTTTTTATTTGCTGACCCCTCTCTCCTGAGTCAAGCATAAGGTTTTCAATAGAAAGAGCTTAGCTTCCTTTGCATAGAATTATCTTTGTGATTTGCTACCTGGCAATTTTAAATAGTCACAGGGAAGCTGGGTTTGGCGCTTTAGTTTTTCGCTGCTCGCCCCTGCTTTACCTCTATTTACTTATATATTCTTGGTGTTCTGTTTCATTTATTAATACTTTACCCTCAGGCAACAACAGTGTATTACAAAGAGGGCTGGAGGTAGGGGAGAGAGGGAGGTAATTGTGCAACAATGAACAAATATTTTTAAAGAAAGTTAACTGGGGGTGGGGGGAGAGAGAGAGAGGAGATAAAATGTGCAACAATGAATGAATGGAAATCTAAAAGAAAAAGACAAGAATGGGAATTCCAGAACACTTAATCGTGCTCGTGTGAAACCTAGACCTAGACCAGGAGGCTGTTGTCCAAACAGAGTAAGGAAACACTACATGGTGTAACGTCAGGAAAGGTGTGCGATCAGGGTTATATCCTCTCTCCATACCTATTCAATGTTTATGCTGAGCAAATAATTCATGCAGCTGAACTCTATGAACACAACTATGAACAGAATTGGAGGGAGACTCATCAACACCCTGTGTTATGCAGACAACACAACCTTGCTTGCTGCAGGTGAGGAGCCTTGCAGCACTTGCTGCAGAAGGTTAAACACGGCAGCCTTCAATAGAGATGGCATCTCAGCATCAAGAAAACAAAAACCCTCCCCACTGGACCGATAGGCAACATCATGATAGAGAAAAGACTGAAACTCTCAATGACATCATCTTACTTGAACTCACAAGTAGCACATTTGGTACCATCAGTCAGGAGATAAGGAAAGGTGTTGCACCGGAAAGGTTTGCAGTCAGGCAGGGACTTCTCTAAATACTGAGGAGCAATGATATCAGTTTGAGGACTAAGGTGTACCTGATCCAGGCCAGGATCTTTTCAATTACTTGCTATATATCTGAGAGCTGGACAACGAATAAGGATAACAGAAGAGGAATTGATGCTTTGAGTTGGTGTTGGAGAAGAGCACTGAACATCCCAGGGACTGTCAACAAACCGAAGAGGTGTGTCTTGGAGAAGTGCAGCCAGGGTACTCCCTGGGGACCAGGATGGTGAGGCTCTGTCTCACATACTCCATGCACGTTGTTAGGAAGGGGCTGCTCACTGGAGAGGGACATCATGCTTGGAAGGGTGAGCAGAAGACAGGAAGCCTTCAGGTGGGGTGACACAGTGATGCAGCAATGCACGCAAGTGTGTCAGAGACTGTGAGGGTGGCACGGGGAGTGGAGGGCTCAGACCTATGGATCATTGGGCCGCTGTGGGCCGTTCTAAGCCGACAGCACTTAACAGGCACTAGGCCACCAGCTTCAAAGCATTACCCAATTTCAGGTATTGTCAAGAATAACATTGGGGATCTTAAGAAGGGAACAAGGAATGGTTCTCCCCTTTGTTGTGGACCTCACTATATCCCCCCAAACTGTGAGGTGCGATTCTTCACCTCTGAAGCCTGTGGGTGGAATGCACCCGGGAGAGCCTCATCCGTAGGGAGCTGAGCTGCTCACCCAAGGCCTCCCCTCTCCAAGGACTGAAACCTACCGAGCCGTCTCTTCCCATTTAGAGCCTTGGAAAACTGGGGTGTCAGCTATGAGTCAGTTCAGGCTTGAGGAGAACGAGCTAGAACTGAATCTGTTGTGATACGGAGATGGGTTAGTCCATATCATTTAAGATATAAAAAAGATTAAAAGAAGCAGCAGAGACGGGAAAGGGAGAGTGAACCATGAGAGGACCACGCGGGAGCGGCTCAGAGATGAGGACCTTCCCGGAGGGCTCACATTCGGAATCTGGGGCCCGAGACATCTAAACTGTAAGAAAACGAATGTTTACCAAAGCCGCCCCCTTCTAGCATCTGCAGTAGCAGAAGATCCCAGGACAGCGTCTCCGTCTTCTGTTACACAGGCGTTTGGGGTTGCAGTGGGGTGGCGATTAAGCCAAGGTTGGCAGTGCAGACCACCCATCACTTCTCTGAGAGGCCTGATGATCTGCTTCCAAAGCAGGGGTGGTGTTGACACAGTTGGTTCCCAAGTACAGCAACATCCAGCTCGGCCCTGTGAGGAAGCTCATTGATGCAGCCACTGTCAGCCCTCCTGCTGAGGTTCCTGTGCACTGAACCCCCACTTTTCTAAGCACCATGGCCTTCCCCAGGGGCTGCACGGTGGCTTACATGCCCAGAGTGCTTATCCTTGTCTTTCTCTTTTTTCATTATTTTATCATTTTTTAATTCATTTTTGTCTCCATACCTTTTCAATCTGTATACAGAACAGATCATCTGAGACATTGGGCTATACGAGGAAGAATGTGGCACCAGGATTGGTGGAAGAGTCATCAACAACCTACTTTATGCAGATGACACAACCCTGCTTGCTGAAACTGAGGAGGACCTGAAGCGCTTGCTGCAGAAGGTCAAGGACTGCAGCCTCCTATATGGATTGAAGCTCAATATCAAGAAAACAAAGATTCTCACCCCTGGGCCAATTGAAGCATCAGTATAGATGGTGAAGAGATTGAGATAGTTAACAGTTTTAGTTTACTTGGCTCCACAGTCAACACTCTTGGTAACAGCAGCCAGGAAATCAAGAGACGAATTGCATTGGGGAAAGTAGGCTGTGAGGGACCTCTCAAGAGTACTGAAGAGCAATGACATCAGGCTGGAGACTAGGTGTGCCTGATCAGGGCTATAGTCTTCGCAATTACGTGCTATGCATCGGAGAGTTGGGCAGTGAATAGGGATGTAGAAAGAGAATTGGTGCCTTTGAGCTGTGGTGCTGGAGAAGAGTGTTGAATATACCATGGACTGCTGGGAGAATAAACAGGTTTGTCCTGGAGAAGGTGTCGGAATGCTCCTTGGAGTCAAGGATTCTGAAGCTTTGTCTGACCTACTTTGGACATGTTGCAAGAAGGGACTGGTCCTTGGAGAAGGACATCATGTTTGGCAGAGTGGAGGGGCAGTGGAGGAGAGAAAGACCCTCTATGAGATGGATCGATTCTGTGACTGGAGTGGTGGGAATGAGTGTGTTTGAGATGGTGAGGTTGGCGCAGGATAGAAAGTCACTTAGGGCTCTTGTACATAGGGTGGCTATGAGTCCCAAGCAACTCAAAGGCACATAACAACAACAACAATTAATTTTAATGAAAATTTACAAAGATTTTGGATTTCCATTCATTCATTGTTGCACTTTTCTCCCTGCCCACCCCTCCCCCTCTAGTACACTCTTCTTTGAAAAGTAAAAGAAAAGTTCCCCCGTTGTTTTACAATCTCTCCTCCCAGGTCCACTCCACTGTGCAGCCTTCCTTCTATATTCCTGTCATGACAATAATACCTAATCACATATCCCTTTTAAATAGTTTTCTCCCTCATCCGTTTCAGTGCAGTATACATTATTTATCCCATCTTTCTTAGCCTCCACCCAACCCCAATGTCAGTCGTGTTTTATAACAGTGGCACCATGCAGTATTTGTCCTTTTGTGACTGACATACTTCACTCAGCATAATGTCCTCCAGGGTCACCCATTTTGAATAATATTGCATGAGTTCTTTGTTTTTCAATGCAGCATAGTATTCCACTGTGTGAACATACCACAGCTTCTCTATCCATTCGTTTGTTGATGGGCAGTTAGGTTGTTTCCAACCCCTTGCTATTATGAACAAAGCCGCGATAAACATGGGTGTGCATATATCTGCTTGGGTGTCAGTTATGGTCTCTTTGGGATATATTTCCAGTAGTGGAATTGCTGGGTCAAATGGTATTTCTATTTGCAACTTTTTGAGAAAGTGCCACACCGCCTTCCACAGTGGTTGCACCATTTTACACTCTCACCAACAGTGAAGAAGGGTTCCAGTTTCTCCACAACCTCGCCAGCATTTGTTGCTTGCTGTTCTGTTAAATTTTGCTGTTCTGACTGGAGTGAGATGATATCTCATTGTCTTGATTTGCATCTTAGAGCTAGGGTTTTGAACATTTCTTCATGTGTTGGTTGGCCATTTGAATGTCTTCTTTGGGGAAGTGTCTGTTCATATCCTGTGCCCATTTTTCAATTGGATTGTTTATGTTGTTGTGGTGACCACCGCCTGTCTAAGCACCATGCCTTCCCCAGGGGCTGCCCGGTGGCTAATATGCTCAGAGCGCTGGGTCAAGTCAGACGGGGTTCCTCACTCCCTAGGTACTCCCTGCTGCACTGTTCTCTAAAGGTGACTTCTCAGAGGCCCAGGGGCACTCCCCCCACCATCACTGGTCAGTATGATTCATCAGCTGGCTGGCCAGAGCACCCGATCACTCCAGCACCACACGTTTTCCGCTTTCAAAAAACAAGTGTTTTGTGTATTCAGAGCAGCCAGCAGACCTCATGTGGGAGTATGGGCCACACTTCCACGTGTGGGTCATGGGTCACTTTGGGAACTGCCCTGCATGCAGTTCCTGTGGCCAGCTGCTCGCAGTGTCCACAGAAGGCGGACCAGTTGCAGACTTGAACTGTGGCTCATTCATGGGGCATCCTCTGGCCAACACATCTGAGCCTCCTGCAGTTGCTCGGGACCCCCAGTTGCCCCTCAGCGGCCAGAAGCTGACTCCAACGACGCTCTGTGCCCTGTGCCAGCCTCACCTGCAGCCTGACCCACCCACTGATGCTGCAGCCCTCAGCCGGCCAGGCTGCTCCCCCTGCCGGCCAGTCAGCCATCCCCTCCTCGTTCCTGTCCCTTCCCCGTGGTGCCAACGAAGGGAGAAGGGTGGGAGGAGGGAGGCAGGTGAACGGAGGGCACCAGGCAGGGGGCAGTGGCTGGCGCTGCAGGGGAGGCGGAGGCGGGGCGCGGGGGCGGGAGGCTCAGGATATAAACGCTGGCTGCGGCCGGCCGCCGCGGACCCACATTGAGCCCAACACAGCCGCCCAGGCGCAGACCTTCCAGGGCCCTGTTCGCAGCCCTCCGGGGGCCTCCAAAAGGAAGTCAGCGAAGCCATGCGCGCCGCCACCACCGCCGGGCCCAACGAGTCCTCGTGGGCGCTGGTCAACGCGTCCGACTGCCCGGGCTGCGGCGCCAACGCTTCGGATGGCGAGGGCCCTGCGCCGCGGCAGGTGGACGCCTGGCTGGTGCCCCTGTTCTTCACAGCGGTGATGCTGGTCGGCCTGGCCGGCAACTCGCTGGTCATCTACGTGGTCTGCCGCGACAAGCAGATGCGGACAGTCACCAACTTTTACATTGGTGAGCGCCCGGAGGCTGGGCTGACAGCAGGGGTTGGCGGACAAGCAGGGACCCGCGCCGGGGAGCGCGCATCGCGCCGGGGAGCGCGCATCGCTCCTCTAGGGTCACCGTGTTAGCATAGCGGTGCGATCCTCGGAACAGTGGGGTGGAAGAGTCTTCCCTGCCCGGTGCCCACCCAGCATTTGCTGCCTGCTGTGGCTGCTAGACTTAACCGCTGCTCCCATTTTGCAGATGCGAACACTGAGGGCGGAGATAGGGGCTGGTTACTCTTGACTCCCTGAACACGGAGGTGCCCATTGCCTCTGCCTGGTCACTCGGCCGGGGCGGTGGGTGGCGGTGGGGCGCCGGTGACTCAGGAAGTCCAGCGCCCTCTCGCCCCCGCCCCCCTGCAGCTAACCTGGCGGCCACCGACGTGACCTTCTTACTGTGCTGCGTACCCTTCACGGCCCTGCTGTACCCGCTGCCCGCCTGGGTGCTGGGTGACTTCATGTGCAAGTTCGTCAACTACATTCAGCAGGTGCGCCCCGGGCGCGAGTCTGGACGCAGCTGGCCAGGGCTTGACCCAAGGGGTGGGCGTAGCCGGGACGTGGCGGGGGGTGGGTTTGGAGAGGGCATGGGTGGTGTCACCTTGAGGGATGCGGTGGAGGGGCATGGGCGTGGCGGAGGCGGGGCCCAGGACCCAAACAAACAGGTGGAACCAGGCCCCCTCAGAGTGGAAGTGAAGGTTTAGAGCGACCTTGCAGTCATGGTCAGTGAGAGGCGACAAGGAGGGCCACAGCTCCTGGCCTGGCCAGCCCAACCGCCACCTCATCCTCCCCGCCCTCCGCGGGTGGTCCCTCCCAGACACGCCCCGTGGGCCCGAGTGGGGACCTGGTAGGGTGAGTGGGCGTGGCCATCATGGGCCCCAGGCCGGCAGGACACCACACACCGGCTCCGGCCCGCGCAGGTCTCTGTGCAGGCCACGTGTGCCACGCTGACCGCCATGAGCGTGGACCGCTGGTACGTGACGGTGTTCCCGCTGCGAGCCCTGCACCGCCGCACGCCCCGCCTGGCGCTGGCTGTCAGTCTCAGCATCTGGGTGGGTGAGTGTGAGGCGAGGGCGCGAGGCTGGGGGTAGAGAGTGTGTGCCCGCAGCCTCCTGCTGCCCCTCCTCGGGCCTCCACTGCGCACCCCGAAAGTGGGCGCGGTCGCCCTGCCTTGAAAGCGTAGCCGAGTGTCGCTGAGCCGGGAGGCACTCTGGGGTGCAGCCTGAGCCCTGGCTACCCGCAGGCTCTGCGGCCGTGTCGGCTCCGGTCCTCGCCCTCCATCGCCTCTCGCCCGGGCCGCGCATCTACTGCAGCGAGGCCTTCCCCAGCCGCGCCCTGGAGCGCGCCTTCGCGCTCTACAACCTGGTGGCGCTCTACCTGCTGCCGCTGCTCGCCTCGTGCGCCTGCTACGGCGCCATGCTGCGTCACCTCCGCCGGGCCGCTGTGAGCCCCGCGCCCGCCGACGGTGCCCGGCAGGTGCGAGGCGCAGGGAGCGCGAGGCGAGGGCGGAGGGTGGAGGCGTAGAGTGTGTCTGCAGAGAAGTGCCGTCGGGGTGGCGCTGAGGGCATGGCGCCGAGGGCACCTGGAGATGCGTACAGCCCGGGGTCTAGCTGAGGCGGCTAGGGGCCCGGGGAGCTCCGGCCTCCTTCAGCCGGGCCCTCAGACCACCCTCACCCGCAGGGGCAGCTGCTTTCGGAGCGCGCGGGTGCCGTGCGCGCCAAGGTCTCGCGGCTTGTGGCCGCCGTGGTCCTGCTCTTCGCCACCTGCTGGGGCCCCATCCAGCTCTTCCTGGTGCTGCAGGCGCTGGGCCCCGCGGGCGCCTGGCACCCTCGCAGCTACGCCGCCTACGCGCTCAAGACTTGCGCGCACTGCATGTCCTACAGCAACTCGGCGCTGAACCCGCTGCTCTACGCCTTCCTGGGCTCCCACTTCCGCCAGGCTTTCCGCCGCGTCTGCCCCTGTGCCCCCCAGCGCGCCCAGCGCGCCTGCCGGCCCGGACCCTTGGACCCTGCCGGCCCGCACGCTGAGCTGCGCCGTCTGGCCGCCCACCCGGCCCCCGCCAGGACGCCAAAGGCGCACAGCGGCGGCCCGGGAGCAAGAGTGCCGTGCGCCCTGGCACCGGACTGGGCACGCGCAGAGGCGGCTGTGGGCATGGAAACGCTGCCCTATCGTTCTAAGTGTTCCTAATAATGTGCAAGATAATTGTCTGGTCCCCTTCTCACGCTTGGTACAAATTTGCCACACTGCTTGCGGCTGTTGATATCTTAACGATTCTTTTTGTATTTACTCGTTTTGAAGATTACATACTGCTGGCCTCTTCTGGATCTTTCCAGAAAACGTCTGGAGTCGTTTCAGTGCCACCTTGTGGCTGACGGTAAGAGGTAAGGCTGCTTCTGTTTTCCAAGTTGTTACTATTTGGAGACTATGCTCATGTTAGCGCTGGAGGCGCGGGTGTTAAAGGGCCAACTGCAGGCTTGGCTGGGAGGAGGGGACGTGGTTAGATACCCACCCTGGGGGCCCAGCTGCCAGGAACCACCCATCCCCTAGACGGAGGGTCCTGGATCTCAGCTTCTCTTCTTCCATGGCGCTGCGGGGATCCCCACTGGGCTTCCCCACCCGACTCCTCCGGGCCAGAACTGACCCGAGGCTCCGTCTTGCTGGCTGCGGACTCTACTGCTGCAGGTCACTTCCATGGGAGCGAGTGGTCTGCACGGATGGCCAGACGCATCCCAGAGGAGGGTCTGAAGGCCTTGGGTTCCCGCTGCCATTTCTGCCACTGGGGTGGTCACAGGCCCCAAAACCAGAGGCAGCACTGTGTGCCCACAAGAAGGGTAGACTCAGGGCTCCCAGACTCCTCACATCATCCTGAACTCAGGCATATCAGCTTGCATCTCCCGAGGGCTGACATCTTCTAAATAATTCAGGGGACATTACAGTTTTGTGGTCAGCTTCTGTCTGGTCAGCCCAAACCAGCATGGCCACCGGCATGGTGCAGGGACCCTGCCCAGTCCTGCACTGGCCGCCAGCTGCCTGCCAGCCAGACCTCTGTGATCTGGAGGGGAGTCACAGCCTGATTGGAGCTGCCAGTCACCAAACCTTTCTGCCTGGTCTCTCCGTGGGAAAACTCCATGACACCTGTCTAGCATCAGCCACAGACGCCTCTGGGGCTGGTGTGACGACACCAAGGTGGACTATTGGGAATCCAACTCTCACGTCCTGTCCCCCACATGGAAGGTGAGAATCCTGGCGCTAGCCCCCAGGAGGGCCCTGGACTACTACTTCGTCTTGGATCCACAATCAACACACTTGGTGCCAGCAGTCAGGAAATCAGGAGATGGATTGAACTGGGTAAGTTTTCAGGCAGTGACCTCTACAAATTATTGAAGAGCAATGATACCATTTTGAAGACTAAGGTGGACCTGATTTCAGGCCATGGCCTTTTCAATCGTTACATCTGGGAGCTGGACAGTGAATCAAGATGGCAGAAGAATTGATACCTTTGGGCTGTGGTGTCAGAGAAAAGTACTGGATATCCCATAGAAAGCCAGCAGAACAGATATGGGTTGGAGAAAGTGAAGCCAGACTGTTCCCTGGAGGCAGATGACAAAGACTTAGCTCACGTACTTGGGGCATGTTGCTAGGAGAGGCTGTTCCTTGGAGAGGAACATCATGCTTGGGAAGGTGGAGGGTCAGCAAAAGAGAGGAAGGCCCTCACCCACGTGGGCTGATACAGTGACTGCAGCAACAGGCTCGAATGCGTCAGAGGTGAGGATATCACAGGGCAGGGCAGGATTTGGATCTGTTGTTCGTAGGGTCGTTATGAGTTGTACTCAACTTGATGGCACCTAACAACAACAACAAACAGGTTCAGTGACTTGTTACACTTTCACAATGTGTCTGCTCTCCTCCTTTTCATCCCCTTCATGTAGCTTCCCCACCTCCTCCTGTTAGGTCTCCTTCCATGGTTCCCAGAGCCTCCCAGCCTCGTGGCGCTGTTACGTGTTTGAGGCACCCTGTCTTTTGGCTGATAGGTGATCTCCAGGAATGGCTGGAGTCCCAGCACTGGCTCATGCCTCCAGCGACTTACAGAAATCTGTGTGTGACAGAACCACCACCCCAGCCCCCGCAGTGCCCAGTGATGCAGACACTGTTGGTCCCTCTCAAGGGGCTTCCTCTTTCAAAGGCTGACCATGCAGGTTTGACGCTGGAGCTTGCTGTCTGCTCCCCTCAGCAGGACTGAATCTGAGGGTGACATTTCTCCTCTACTTGGGTGTCCCACTGCCCTCTCACCCACCTTCCTCCTGCAGCCTATGCCCTTGGAGCTCCCTGAAGGCACCGTCTCCCTCCTTGCCCAGACACTGTGCCTCAGTGGCTTCTTTTGTACTCACACCTCAAGTCTCAGCAGAGTGGCTTCCTCCTCCAGGAAGCCCTCCTGGATGTGCAGCTGGATCAGGCTGTCATCACCTATGCTGGACCATGTCTGCCTTGCTCTGTCTGGCACCCAGGCTGGGCAGACATTCTTGGGGTGCATAGCAGGTGTGTGTGGTGGGGGCACCCTGAGGCTGTGTGCTGGCAGTGCTGAAGCAAGCTGAAGACTTAGTAAAAGTGACACAGTGTCTCAGTGTGCTGGGGTGGAGCCGGGAGAGAGCCAGGGCCTGGACAAGTGAGTCACCGGGGTCACTCAGGCCTTCCCACACAGAGGCAGGCAAGCAAGAGCTTGTCAGCTCATCACTGGGGCCACAGGAGCCCTGGTGGTGCAGTGTGTGAGGTGCTGGGCTACTGACCTGAAAGGTCAGAAGTTCAAATACACTAGCTGCTCCTTGGAACATAAAGATACAGACTCGGGGACAGCAGAGGGCCACCTGGAGCCAGAACTTAGCAGCAGGGAGTGGGATCACCTACAGACTAACAGTCCTGTAGTTGCAACCTCACCATAAACCCGCACTTCTAGTCATCCTACCAGCACCCTTTACCACCACCACGTCTCCACCATCACCACTACCTCACCACCACCACCACGGCTCCACCACCACCACTACCTCACCACCACTATCACAGATCCACCACCACCACCACTACCTCACCACCACCACGGCTCCACCAGCACCACGGCTCCACCACCACCACTACCTCACCACCACCACGGCTCCACCACCACCACAGATCCACCACCACGTCTCCACCACCACATCTCTCACATCTCCACCAACACGTCTTCACCACCATGTCTTATCATGTGTGCCAGTGCCCTTACCACCACCACGTCTCAGCACACCCTCCTGGCACCTTGCCAGTTCCTTTACCCACCCATCTAATCTCTCCTAGTCCCCTCCCCCACCCCTCCCATTTGAGCAGTTGCTCAGATTCTGTTCCAGGTTGTTAACTGCTGTGCCATGTTGTCCATCCATCCTCCCAGGTTGGGCTCTCCTCTCTGATCCTTTCCTGGGTTCATTGTGCATTGTCCCTGCTCTCCACTCCCCCCCCCCAGGCACCCTCTGCTGTCACAGCAGTGGTCGCAGACCCTGTCAAGTTGTGACTGAGTCATTTCACTCAGCATAATGTCCTCCACACCCCCCCGTTGTGTAGTATCGTATCAATCTTCCCTGTTCTTTAGTGCGGTATAGTATTCCATTGTGGGAATAGAACATGGGTTTTCTACCCCTTTGTTCCTTGATGGCCATGAACTGGCTTACATATAAGGGGAATGCCTCCTTTGTTCCTCCCAGTTTTCCTAACGCTTAGCTTTTATTATGAGTATTTTCACGTGTGCCCTCACACAGTCTCCACTGTGCCTCCAGCCCACAGTCCCGGTGTCACTCCACCTCATTAAGGCGCTTCCTCTTTTTCCTTTTTCCCCCTCTACTTTTCCAAGCACGGTGTCCCTTCTCCAGGGACCAGGCACCTGATAATATGCCCCAGGACGTGAGACACGTCCCCCCATCCTCACCTCAGAGGATGCTTCCTCCAAGGCAGACTTGCTTTTCCTGACAGTCCATGACGTGCTCAACGTTCTTGGCTAACAAGTCCAAGGCGTCAATTCTTCTTGGGTCTTCCCTGTCCAACTTTCACATGCATGCTCCACAAACCCCCACAATTCAGTTCTACCAGACCCCACTCACAGCTGGCCCTCCACTGGGTTCCTGAGTTGCTGATCATGGATCCGAACCACCAGAACCGTGACCTTACAAGTGGTACCACCAGAGCTCCTCATGCACACAAATCACATAAGAATACCATGGCTTGGGTCAGGCACACCTTAGTCCTCAAAGTGATGTCCTTGCTCTTTAGCACGTTTAAGAGGTCCTTTAAAGTGCTAAGATGATAAAGTCCTTATCTCTAAGATAACATGTGCTGAAGAAAGGCCTGGTTTGAAGTAATGTGAACACAGTGTAAGTTGGGAGCTGCCATTATTTCTTGTTCTAGTCTCAGGCAGATGGCCACGCAGCATTGTGGTGAGGGGCTGGGACAGGACCCAGACAGAGAGAAGCACCGTGTTGAGAGGCCAGGACAGGACCTGGACAGAGAGGGCAGGGGAGGAGCAGGTATGGGACCTTCAGGCCCTGTTTGGGTGGTGGACAGAGGGTCTATTGAGAGGTTTTCCACAATTAGCAAATAAAAATGCAGACATTTTCTAACGTCTGACTGCAAAAATTGGTTTTCAAGGACTTTCAGTCAGGGCATGCCCAGCTGGAAGCCCAGGTGGTGCAGACAGGTTAGCAGTTCAAACCCCTTAGAGGAGTCTGAGGACAGGCCGGCTGAACAGTGATGGCCCTTGAGGCCGTCGGTGCGGAACTCACTAAAAGGAGCAGATGTAGACCGCAGGACCCTCGGTCGTTGTCCTCATTGTCCTTTGTGGCCCCCGTCGGCTCTGAGCCCCCCAGCCTGTCCTCATCAGCTCAATCAGGCATCAGCCCAGGCTTGGACTCGCCATGTCCACCATCTTGTCCAAGTTGAAGGAACATGCACAGGTCCCTCAGACCACATGCCAAAAGCCCCTGACAGGAACTCTCCATGATCCTGCTTTGCCTTGGCTACTAGCTGGAGGTGGACTGGGCTAAATGTCAGCCCCCCAGCAGCTCCTCAGGGGAAAGAAGTGACTCACCTCCCCAGGCCCCAGCCTCAGAATCCCACCAGGGCCTGGAGCGGGTGGACGCAACAGCAGTGGATGAAAGGGAAGGGGGCCGGGT